TTACAGTGAATTTATAACAGCTAAGGGGTGTTGTTAGGCACGAAGCGGAGTTATAAATTCACTGTAAACTACGGCTTCACGGGGCTTATTGCTTTTATAAAATGGTTATTCCATATACGTAAGTAAGGTTTCACAAAATAAAACCGAGCAAATAAAGTGTAATGATATTAATAAAAACAGTAGTCTTCCACCAAACAATGTAGTTCCTCAGAAACAGTTGGTTGCAACAAAGTGGTTGCCAAGCAAGACAAACGTAAACAAAGGTGTATGTTTGTAGAGTAATTTACAACAGCTTCGAACGTGGCTCAGCCAATCAGAATCAAGGACCGGAACTATCCGTTTTATAATAATTTTTCTATCTCTGAATGAAAAACGAAAATTTAAGCTGAATTCTCGTTTTTCATTTTTTGCCAAAAAAACGAAAAAAGGAGCTGTTTTTTTCATTTTTCTACTTTCAATATAAAATCAAAAAATGAATGAACGAATGATACATGGATTTAAAATACATATTTAATTACTTTTTAATTTATGTATTATGTATCTTATTTTTGATTTAGTTATTTTATTATTTATAATATTTTTTAAATTATTTATTTATTGCGCAATAATTTGGAATACTTGATTCTAATTAGTCTTTTTTTTAATAGTGACTACTGAACTATTATTTGGCTGTTTTCCCATATATTATATTATGTCATGTCATGTCATGTTACATTATATTATATTATATTATATTGCATTTATTGGGAACCAAGGAGGCCATCCTTTACTCAGTCTCATGGTAAATGGAGATGAATTCCCACAGGATCTGGCAAATTCTACTCTTTTCATCCGAAGTCCAGATGATCAGTTATATCCACTTATTCAGCTTTGTCTTCCCAGGTATTCAATTATTAGCCACAGCTCCTCTGTTCTGCTCATATATCTAATGAAAGGTTCGCACAGTGAGGAAATGGTGACATATTCCCCTGGAAACGGTCTCTGAGCCTGTTTAAGTGGTATATGGGGTCATAACCTTTGTGATCGGAGTCTGTAGGTCCAGTGCTCCTGATTCTAAAGCATTTTGATAATGAATTGTGCCTTAAGCAGATGGTGTATTAAATAGATTTTGGCTTAGATTTAATGCACAGACTCCAAGCTTACAGTGTTGCATCAGATTCCATCACTTGTGCTTGTTTTAGCTGTGTGGAGTGATGGATAGGCAGCAGACGTGGACGTCTTGTTTAAAGGTGGGCTGCATGTGGGGGCTGGGTGTTAACTAGAGCAGCTCACGGCTCTCCGGGGCACTGCGCTCATTTTCAGACCTATATAACAAGCTTTGTGTGTCAGGCAAACGACTCCCAGTTGACTAGCCTTTATGTGTGAATGGGAAATGTTTTAGACTGAATGATCAACTATTCATAGAGGTTTTCTCTGTTCAAAAGTCGATATGATAGTGTCTAATTTAAGCAATTAGCTACAAGAGGCCATGCTGTATTGAGAATGTATGGCTGAAGAATGTTGTCTGCTCATCATTTACATTACAGAACCACAAATGGATTATTGCATTAATGGTTACTACATATAATAAAATATTAAGGACAAACACTTTTATTAAGCACATTCCTTAGAGACTTAAGAATGGCTTGTGTCGATGAGGGCTGGACGATATGGGCAAAATTTATATCACAATATATTTCTTAATTTCGGTTGATACGATATAATTCCGATATCGATATGAAGTTATGAACACTATTTTTTTTAAAAACCTAATAAAAACTGCCAAGAACACCCACAACAGATGTCTGTACCTACAAACTTATGAAAAATGAATTTGCCAAGTCTATCAAACCTCCTCCTATAAAACTATATAATATTTTAGAGAAAATAAAAAAACAGCACAAATATCTTTTATTTGTATTTAGCCTTCATACAAACAAGAAATGTGAAATCACTGTCAAATAAACATCTCAGA